AGTCGCAGCGATATAAATTTCTTTTCGGTGGAAGTTGTTTTCACCGAGAAACTAATTAAAAATTTCAATTCTTACCTCAGAGTACTCAGCGTTTTTACCTTACTTTTGCTAACGATGAGAAAAATCAAGCACCCTTCCTTGATATTAGGCCGCATGTATTAGTTGTTGTGAACATCCACCATGCATTGTGATCTATTCTCACTACGTCCAAATATAAACAATTCCCGAGAAAAAGAAGGGACGAGGAGGTGAAATACTAGATCCACGCCAAGGCAATGTACTCCAGTAACAACGCCGGTGTTGTGGAGAACCGAGTGATTTTAGGTACTTTAAAAGTACGCAAACAAAATTATTCTGGCGTGAAATTAAGATTATCTTGCAATGTATGCTGACATTTAATGCATTGAAAAGTCTCGCCATAACACAGAAAAGTTAGAACTTTCGAGGAGCATGAAATATTAAATGGCAGTAAGTGCCAACAAAGCTTAGAACTCTCCATGGTGCTGTACTTCCAGTAACAACCTTCTGCGTCCTCTCATGCAATTGATGCACAATGAATAAAAGAAATAAATTGAACTGAAAGGTGGACCCTTTTTCGGTGCCAATCAATTTGCAAAGGCAGCACTTTTTTAATGTTGCGGGCTCGCCTACGACGACAATCAAAAAGCCACTAAGGACAAGACAAGACAAGATGAGTTATTAAACTAAGCTCAGTTTTACATGACATAAAGGTTAAATTTACATAGCCATCTAAACACAACGCAACTAAGGAATACAAGAAAAATGGCAACAACAAAATGGAGAGCGAGTTGGGATCATCCAAATAGGAAAGGCTAATCCAGTGGATGACCCCTGCATTAAAATACAATTACAGACAGAATAGAGAATATATATACATTTTTTCGATAAAAAAGTATTTCTTCATGCGCTAAAGCAGATAATTAATTAGAATAACAATTGAGCATAGAGTTCTTAAGGGTTTTACGAAATATTCTAAGAGAATTTGAATGAGTTATACTTACAGGCAAGGAGTTCCAAAGGCGAGGACCAGTGAATTTTAGGTAGCGTAAGCCATATTGGGTGGTATTAACTAAAGTTACATAAAAACTTCTATTACATGATTGCCTCGTTGAACAGGAATGAACAGAAGAAGTAAATTCGAAATATTCACTGAAACAGGTGGGTAACAGTCTGCGTGACCGCTGATAAACAAAAGAGAGTATCTGTGATTCAATGACATCATTGAGCTTAAGTAGGTTGAGAGATTTGAACAGAGGCTCAGAATGGGATTTTGGTTCGGAGACAGCTATTATTCTGATTGCTTTTTTCTGGATAATAAATAATTGTGTTAGAAATGAGGGAAAGGTTAAACCCCAGACATGGACACCATAAGTGAGGAAAGGATAGAAAACAGAGTAATAAAGCACGCGACTGACCGAACACAAACGAGCGACGAGGAATGGTGACGTAAACAATCACACTGCTGAGCACCATTTACAGACGAAACATTGAATTGACTGGGACTCTGCGACATGTATAACGTATTATACAGACTACTATCAACGTCTTACTGTAGAAAGCTGGTTTACTAACTTAGGACAAACGCCGCTGAATCGTAGCCAACAGTTACCAGCGCCGTACAAACGACTTATTGACGAGATCAAGCAAAACTAACTACGAGAGAACGACTGGAGAACTGACAATTTGACTAACAATAGATGACTGTTTATCTGTGACAATAGACGGATCGATACGCATCAATTACTGATTGCGAGTCTTCATAGCCAATAACATCACAGGTTAACTGACAGACGACCAATAACATCGCAACGTAATTGACCAATCAGACCAATAACTAGAGTATAATACCATCAACTGACGTGATACAACTCACTTTGACTCTGGAGATAACTACCGCACAGGTTGTTGAAACGTCAGTCACCGTCAATAACAACAGTCTTATTCAGGACTACGTTCACCCGGAAGATCAAACTCAACCAACTTTTGAAATGACTCCTGGGTTCAAACCTTTCACAAGAATATGGTTGTCAACAAAATGTCTCACTTTTGACAAGATACCTACTGTTTTCGATAGTTTCAAACAAAGCTCATTAATATGACTTTTCCAAGTTAAGTTGGAATCAAATGTTAAGCCTAGGTACTTAGTAGAGCAAACTTGTTTAATAAGTGCATCATCAATTTTAATTCTTAATGACTGATTAGGTTTAAGTTTACTGGAATGAAAAAGAAGAAAGTTAGTTTTTAAGACACTAAGTGCTAATCGATTACATTTCATCCATTCGGCAACAGATTTTAGTTCATGATTTAGGTTTGCTTCAAGGTGACTACGGTTTTTACTACAAATAAAAAGGTTATTATCATCTGCAAATAGATGAAATGTTAGTAAGCTAGAAGTATTGAGCAAATCATTTACATATAATAAGAAGAAAAGGGGTCCTAGAATACATCGTTGTGGAACACCACAAGTGACTGTTAAGGAAAGTGAGTTATGATCATTAACATTTACAAATTGTTCTCTTTGGGATAAGTAAGATTTAAACCAGTTCGCATGGCTTTTGTAGTGAGCTGCATGCTCACAAATATACATGGCTTAGGTTCACTCTCTTGAAAAAAACGACCACTGAATACTGATGCCCCTCCTGTCTTCCTCCTTAGAAGCCAGCTCTAAATGCTACCAGCATTGTGAAACCCTGTTTTAACTGTGACTTAAACTCTGTAATGTAAAGCTCTCTTGAGCGACCACCGCACACCTGATTGTCATAGATTGAATTAGGCATGCTATGAGAAAAAATGAAGGAGGAGAAACATCACGGGAAATATTTTCAGCGAAAAATGCTAACATACTGTGCCCAAATGTACTTTTGTCCGTGTTTCCCGTTAGTGGAAAAAAGAAGAAGGAAATATATTTCATATGGATATACTCTTAGCTATAATGCAGATATTAGTTACTCACATGAAACATACAATATAGATATGTGCAAAATATGATATATACATAATGGAAATGATAAATGAGACCTTACCGAACGATCAGAAAAAAAGAAGCCTCAGAGATCTGACCAATGGTGAAATACCATTGTCCCTTGCTAAAACCCATTCTCGTAAACGACCGCTCTTTTATGAATTCCCACGGTTGCCAATTTTCTTTCCGAAGAAACTGTACAAACGGATAAAATACTAATAGCGTACAATTTAACCTTCATATGTGGTGAATTGCTTTAAAAAAAGGAAGACTTATCTCAGCTCGGGAACTGAGCCTTCGTATGAGTAATCAAAGGTAGCGTTGCGGTGATGTCTTTTTATCTCTTTCTTGAAAGGATAAGACTCTAGGCGAGACAGGCAGCTCTTCCGATGTTGTAGTAATAGAGGACTCTGACGTGACTTCAGTGGAATCAGACAGTTTTGACGATACAGTCAGGTCTGAGGACTCTGTTGGCACGTTTGGATTAGGTGTCAGTGAGTACGTACTGGAATCAGAGACCGATGCTAATTAGAGTCAGGGGGAGTGGTACTTCAAGGATGACCATCAGTTACCAATTTGCAACTGGAAGGACTGTAAAGGTACTGAAGAAATAGTCTCAGTCTTGATGAGTCCACCATCATATATTGTCTGCAAAAAAGGACCACTAAAGTGCGCGAAAAATGCATCATTTTTAATTGATACTAGATCCCTGAAGCATCCTACTGATTGGAAATCTGGTGACCTGGATCTTTCCGTAACGTGGGATGCGTCAGCATAGGGTTCTTTGAGACCTCTGAAGAAGTCTGCTTTATTGCAAAGTCACGCCCACCCAGAAGTGCCCAGGCTGTAGTTCAACTTAAGAAGACCCACTGGACCCAAAGTATCCGCAAAGACTTCAAGCGTCGAAGCTATGAGTTGTCAACTGGACAGGAGAAAAGAGGAAGGTACATTTTACTGCGGTACGAGTCCAACGAGAAGGAGCACCCTGTAAGAAAGAAACGCACGGCAATGCAAAATCCAGCAAGCCATTTGGAAGAACCAAGGCCAGTACTCTACAGAAAATAAAGGCTAAAAGCTTGTGCAAAGGTGTATCCAAGGTCTACGATGAAGTATTTGAAGAAGCAAATGGCGTTCTTGGCTTTGAGTCTCTTGGAGACATCCCACAAGGGCGAAAACAAGTAGAGAATGTGAAGTTCAATTCAAAACCTGTGCCTCGTCGACCCAAAGACGAACTGTGCGATCTCGTTAAGAAGTCTAAACTAGAATCTAAGCCCTATATTAGAATATTACGAGTAACCCCGAAGCCAGCTTGTATTCTGGCGGCAGAGCAGCAGATAAAGGATCTTAAACGATTCTGTACGTCCAATACCCTTACTCCTTCAGTCTTCTGTGTGGACCCCACATTCAACATCGGCGATTACTATGTCACTGCAACAACTTACAAGCATCTGATACTAACTGATGTAAAATATGGAGGTCACCCCACAATGCTTGGTCCCTGTATGCTCCATATGAAGCGAAAACAGGAGTCACATAATTTCTTGGCATCATCTCTGGTGTACATTGATAACGAATTATCAATCATAGTAGCAATATAAGGATCCGACAGGGGTGCCACACTGAGGAAAGGTCTACAGCCATGTTTTCCAATAGCCACTTGGCTATCCCGTAAAAAACACGTAGAAGATGACGTCACATGAAAGTTACTTGAATTGCGCATTGGAGAGTCAAAGAGGAAGGAATTTCTGCTGGATATCTTTGGAAGTGATGTACGAGAACAAACAGGCCTTATTGATGCATGCAGTTCTGAAGAGTTTGATGTTTGCTTGGAATTGCTGTATCCAGTCTGGATAAAACGAGAAAGGGAAGCCAGGGGTCTTTCAAAGGAAGCAACAACAGAGTTTTACTCGTACTTTCTAACAAACGTAGCCTCAGACATGAAGATGACAATGATCAAGCCCGTACGAGAGAGGATTGGTTTGGGTGAGAACTTTTTTACAGTCATGACCCCGAATCCATGAATGACAGAATCAAGAAGCGAAAAGGAAAGGGTTCCCAGAAACGGTCTTGGACTGAATGTGTTGATCTGTTACAAAGCCTCGCAGAAGAGCAAGTACGCAATGGAGAAAGAGCATTGATTAACGTAGGGCCCTTACAGCTGAGCGCTGGATTTGCTCACATGAAAATTACTCTAGAGAAGTGGTTGTCGCTTTCTTCCCAACAGAAAGAAAGGAAAGTTTCTTTATTTCGTTCAGCTTCTACTGGAAACGGCTTATGTAGATCAAAATCATCTCACTCAAGAAGCACTTGTACCTCTTCACAGCACGTCCTGCCGTCTGAGATGCAGGATGAAGAGCAAACTAAAGAAGACGACGATTCAGAGAGTCCCGTGGTGGACAAAACAAATTCATCGACTTCAGGTAATCTCATCATGGCGGCAACAATGGGAATGCCTTAGTCCGCTGGTCGGAAACCAGGGTCCCATGGAAGGTACAACAAATGGCCAAGACACAGCCCTTTGCATCAGCGGTGTACGAAGTAGTTCACATGCCGTGCCTTTGCTACTGATAATGATGATGATAAGGTAATCAACATTGATGGGAAAGAAAAACACCAGTTGAAGAGTTTGAAAGGCGCCTTCATTAATGTCTGTTATGGCTGCAGGCAACGCATGCATCCAAAGCCTTCTTACCGAACAGGAAGAGATTTTGTCCCGCCTGCACCTTTCGATGTAGTATTCTATCGGAAAGAATTAAGAATGTACAAGAAGCAGTCAGGGGAGCTGACGTACTCAATTACTCTACAGAATGTCTACTACCACATGAAAAAGGCATGTAACCAGAAAAAAATGGGAACTTCACCTCAGGAGACATTTCAATTTCCGAAAAATTCCTCTCTTCTCTTACAACGGATCATGTTAGTCAGCTACGAAAAGAGTTTGGACCTGCCTTTTAAAGACATTTTACCGAACAGTTATCGATCAAAAGCAATGTTTACGACGTTTTATGAGGTTTAAACTTCAGTTCAGGTCTTTGTTGAATTTCTATTGTTGTAACAAGTTATTTGTATTGAACGGAAAGATCCTCTCAATATGACGTTATGTTTATGTTAACAAAAGAACCCTTCTAGGGTGTGATCACCACACCCTTGTGTAGCTGCATCGCTCTATTGCCACTTAAAAAGTGTTTGAAGCAAATGTGTTTACGAAGGTTGAAAGTAATTCTCTTGTCGTAATAAGACAGCAGGAACCCATAGAGATCCTTTTCAACCTCTCCTCTCCCTACCCTGACTCTCACGGAAAATCCTACATCAGTTCTCACTTTCTTTTTTTTTTACGTAATAGATCAAAAACGAGCGCGAGGTTTTCATCAGGGGTTCCAAACACCGAGAAACGGTCGGCAGAGTGCTTTTATTGTTTCGAGGTGTTTGGAACCCCTGATAAAAACTGAGGCACGAGTTTTTTGAGCTGGCTTCTCAAACTAGTGTGAGAAGTTAGTGGAATTATTTCCAAAGAATAGGGAATTAGAAGACGTGCTCAATAGGCTATTTTTTGTTTCTTATTCGTGGTAAATGAAATGACTATTTAATATGCGGCCATGCTGGCGGGTTTTTTAGTAGATTAACATTATGGCGCGTGATGGAGGTCGAGTCCGGATGAGAACGATTTCACGTTCCTAAAACTTCTTTTCAAGAAAATGTTCTGGTGAATGACGCCGTTCCAGCTTCAACTAAGTATAAGAACAAGTGGGCGTGAGCATTTTTGCTGAATGGCAGAGGTTAAGAGAGGTTCAAGTTCCGGTATTACATTGTGGTGGTCTCTTCAGGACTACGACTTACACAAGATTACCGCTCTGAGCGCAGATATTGCCGGAATGGATGCTCTGTCGCTGAACCATTGGTTGTCAATTTCATGATGGAGGTAGCTAAAAAGTCCGGTGGAAGATACCCTCCCAAGACTATTTATAGTATCATTTGTTCGCTCAAGCATTATTTGGAGGAGAAAAATGGATCCGAAGCTTTGAATCCTCTGGACGCTAGTGACAAAAGGTAATTGACAACTTTTAGACGGCATTGTTCATAATGTTAAAATGCACTGTTTTGGAAATTGAATTTGGTGTGTTGTTTTTCGAAGGTTTGTCCTGTTCCGACGTTGCTTAGATGCCAAGATGAAGGATGGCGTTCGAGAGGCCGTTACATTAAGTGCAAGAAGGAGGAGAAGGAGTTTGTGAGCAAGCAAGAAGAAGCAACATTCTGGGAGAAGAAATTGCTGGGAACTACATCAGCTAAGTCGTTATTGAACTCGATCTATTTCTACAACGGAAAAGTTTTTGGGTTGCGTGGGGGAGATCACAGAAATATTGTAGTAAACAACTTTGAAACTGGTTCAAATTTTATTAAAGGTCAAATGAACCAAAATTTCGACCTTTTTTATTTTAGTTTAATTCTAGTGAAATGTGTTCAATATGAACCAAATAAACATACTATGAAGTTTCAGCTCAATTGAAGAAAGTATCTCCGAGATATTCGCAATTAACAACTGCGTCGCTGAGTGGAGGTGGGTGCGCGGGATGTCCAGGGGCTTCCACCTATGGCACAAACAGCCCCTAGACAGAGTTACGCCCCCGTGGCTGGCAAACCCGCGCCCTCCAACCATGAGCCCCCACGCCAAGCCGAAGGGACCTCCGAGCTGAATTCCCAGCTCGGAGAGAAGGGGCTCATGGCTGGGAGAAGCCTGAGCCCCAATACACCAAACCCAAAGGCACCCACCTATGCTGAGCATGAAGAAGCATATGAAGGCTAAACGAGACCCAAGTGCCAAACGTACAACGCCAACGCCCCATAAAAGCCACAAATGCTGTCCAACGCCAGCAACGTCCAACCCAACGAACCTAAATACTACTAACTCTGTAAACGCCTCAAGGGTCCAGCCCCGATGCCCCATAAACGCTACAAACACTCTGAACGCCACAAAAATGACTGGCCAGAATGCCTCATAAACGCTACAAACGCTGTGAACTAGATGAACGTCCATCCCAAACACTTCCTAAACAATACAAACACCGTAAACACCACAAAAACGTTCACCGCCAATGCCCCATAAACGCCAGACGGGTCCCACCCCAATCTCCCATAAACACTACTAACACTCTAAAACGCCACCAAAAGGACCAGCCCGAACGCCTTATAAATGCTAAAAATGCTGTGAAAGCCACAGACGTCCAACCCCAACCTCCATAAAAAATACAAACACTGTAAACGCCACAAGGGTCCCATCCCAATGCTCCATAAACGTTACAAACACTAAAAGCCACAAAAGGCGACAAGCCCAAACGCCTCATAAACGCTACAAATGCTGTGAACGCCACAAGGGCCCCACCCCGATGCCCCATAAATGCTACACGCAACGCCACGCCACGCAAAAAAATAAATAAATAACGAAATAAAGTAAACAGATCAGCCGGCATACCTGATAAACGCTACAAACGCTGAAAAGCGCCACAAACGTCCAATACCAACGCCCAATAAAAAAATACTAGCACTGTAAATGCCACAAGGGTCCCCCCCAACGCCCCCTAAGCGCTACACGCAACGCCACGCCACGCCACACAAAAAATAAATAAATGAATAAAATAAAAAGACCAGCCTGCAAGCCTCATAAATAATACAAACGCTGAAACGTGCCACAAATGACCAAACCCAATGCCCAATAAAAAACTACTGTAACACTGTAAACGCCACAAGGTTCCCCGCCCCAATGCCCCCTAAACGCTGCAAAACGCTCGAAATGGGCAAAAAAACGACCAGCCCAAACGTCTGGTAAACGATACAAATGCTGTCAACGCCACAAGGGCCCCACCACAAAGCACCATAGACGCTACACGCTACGCCACGCCACAAAAGGAATAACTAAATACAGTCGAACCTCTCTAATACGGACACCGAAGGGACAGAGCAAAGTGTCCGTATTAGAGAGGTGTCCGTTGTATAGAGGTCATGAATATTACGTCACTTTAAAGGCTCCATTGATGGTATTAAGTGTTCTTTAAGTCAAAATTGGCCCAAATTGTTTAATGGACAGTGCAAATCATTAAAATACAAGCTGTACAATTCCAAGAACATATGGCAAACTATAATACAGTTTCCGAACAGTAACATAATAGAACAGTAACAAGTGTAGCGAACACTAACATACAGTAGAGTATTTAATGAAAGTTCTTTGTTATTGATTCATTTTGCATTAAAGAAGTCTGTAATGTTCTTCTGAACAGCACTCGCTAGTCGCTTTTTGACATACAACGACTGAGCTTTTGAAATAATCTTGCAAAACTCATCAGCCAAATTTGATTCACCTTGTGCAGTAAAAAAATCAGAAACATGGTTAAGTTCTGAGCAAGCCTCACTATATGACTTCACTTTTAGCGACTTTGGCGCTTGAAGATCATCCAGCCCCGAGATCTCTTCATCGTCAATGTCTGCACCTTCATTGTCCCCATTTAAGTCTGATGACAAACTTGATAGGAACCTTTCCTCCCAGTTTTCACCTAACTCTTGACAGACTGGAAGAAGACTTTCGTTTGCAATAGCTTCGTGTGCAGACACAGCAGTGTCACCACATGACTCGTTCAGTAACATCTCAACCTGAGAAACCTCATCTTCCAGGTCTGCAAATGGGTCCTCGTCATTTGGGGGTTCTACAGCTTCAACTACATTTCTCTCTTTGTCTAGTACTCCCGCATTAGCGAAACACTTGATTATGGTGGATGGCTCTACGGCTTCCCAGGCCTGTCCTAACCATCTGATGGCCTGTAGGACGTTCACAGACTTGCACACATCTCCAGCTGTTTCACAGTCATCAATTAGGCTCACCACGTGAGTCATCACCAGCTTTGCGTACTTTAGCTTGAAGGACTGAATAATCCCCAAATCTAAAGGCTGGAGCCTCGACGTGCAAAAGACCAGGCTGAATGCCTCAGAAACGCTACAAACGCTGTGAACGCCACAAACGTCCAACCCCAATGCCCTATAAACACTGCAAACTCTACCAGCCCGAACGCCTCATAATGCCGCAAACGTCCAACCCAAACACTCCATAAAACAATACAAATGCTGTAAATGCCGCAAAAACGTACAGCCCCAACGCCACATGAAAAAACTAAAAAAACTATAAAAGGACGCTACAATAAAAACCAATACAAGTAGTTGTACACTTACCCGCAAACAGGCGATAAAAGTACAAAAAACACTATAATATTTTTATAGTACTAGTAACACTATTTACTACTAAAATACTAGAAGGAATGTGGGTGCCTGGAGTATCCAGGGGCCTCCACTGTGGTCAGCCAGCCCCTAGAATCCTCTCCGATGGCTGGCAAATGCCCGGAACCCAGCCATGGCCCCCCTTTCCAGGCACCCGTCACACTGAGGCAAGATGAAACAGTGGAAGGAGGCGTAGAGGGTTGGATGACGGGGACGCTAAAACAACCGCTTCCAACTGCTTCACGCTGACCCGACCACCACAAAAACCGTTCAATTTGATACTCCTGGCTGTGACGAGGCAGCAACGTTGACAGGCGGAGACTGCTAAGCATGTGGCGGACAACTTAACTGAATGCCTGCTAAACTGGAGCTCGAGGACTGCTTCACCGCTAAGCTCGAGGACCGCTTCACCACTAAGCTCGAGGATTGCTTCACCGCTAAGCTCAAGGACTGCTTCAACACTAAGCTCGAGGACCACTTCACTGCTAAGCTCGAGGACTGCTTCACCCCTAAGCTCGAGGACTCCTTCACCGCTAAGCTTGTGGACAGCTTCACCACTAAGCTCAGGGACTGCTTCACCGCGAAGCTCGTGGACCGCTTCACCGCTAAATTCGAGGACCGTTTCACCACTAAGCTCAGGGACTGCTTCACCGCGAAGCTCGTGGACCGCTTCACCGCTAAACTCGAGGACCGTTTCACCACTAAGCTCAGGGACTGCTTCACCGCGAAGCTCGTGGACCGCTTCACCGCTAAACTCGAGGACCGTTTCACCACTAAGCTCGAGGACCGCTTCACCGCTAAGCTCGAGGACTCCTTCACCGCTAAGCTCGCGGACTGCTTCACAGCTAAGCTCGTGGACTGCTTCACCGCTAAGCTCGTGGACCGCTTCACCGCTAAGCTAGGGGACTGCTTCACTGCTAAGCTCGTGGACCGCTTCACCGCTAAACTCGAGGACCGCTTCACTGCTAAGCTCGAGGACCGTTTCACCGCTAAGCTCATGGACCACTTCAGCGCTAAGCTCAAGGACTGCTTCACCACTAAGCTTGAGAACCGCTTCACATTTAAGCTCGCGAATTGCTTGACCACTACTAACTTAACTGCTAAGCTCGTGGACCACCAGACGGCTAAGCTCGTGGACCACCAGACGGCTAAGCTCGTGGACCGCTAGACCGCTAAGTTTGTGAGCCACTTGACCGCTAAGCAAGTAAACGCAAAACCACATTCATTCCCCGAAAACACCGCAACCAAGCTGTTGTCGAACTTTCCAACCATGAAGTATCAGACCCCCAAAAAAAACATCCAAGCCAAAAACCACGGCCAAACGCAGGGACGAACCCAAAATTGTCGCCCCAAATTACGAATAAACATCGATTGCACAAAATCCAGGCGTAGCCGAAAACAATGTAGAAAGAAAACGGTTTGACCACAACAGCAAACGACAGCGAGAATCAGACGGTAAAAGAATGATCCAAAGGCTAAACGAAGAGAATGGCCGCCGCGAAAACACTGCACTGAGCACATGGAGACGATAAAGCCATAGACCCAGAAAGAACAGGCAATTTGTCTTCAAAAGTTGCAAGCTGTTGCTATAACCTTATTATTTAATTTTCTCGAAGAATACATCATAGTAAAACGGAGTTTAACGATATTTACTAATTTCCTTGAGTTGTACTGGAAGTGTGCGTGCGTAAGTCCGATTTTTTTTAAGATGCATTCACAGAATGTGTTCATATAAGTTCCTGGATATATATGGTCCGGAGCTCCACCGTGAAAACAAAAACAAAATATCTTTGTACAATAATCTGCCCAAAGAAATTTGTTTGAAGTTGCCCACAATGTGTTTGAAGTCACTGAACTTTGTCGCACTCGAGCTGATATTTTAAAACCCACGCTCGATCGGACACTTCTAGCTTCGGAGATCACTATTAAAAACGTAAACAAAATCCTCAATGTAGAAGTCTTGGCGTTGATATGTGGGCAGAAAAAGAGTTAATCTTTATCTAGTAAATCTTCCCCAAGATCGGTTTCAAAGCAACCATAGTTTTTTTTAAACTTAATCGTATCACGCAGATTAATTTTGCTTTGTGTTGTCAAGTTGAACATGCATAACACCTGTCAAAAACCTACGCGTAAGTAAGATTTCCTTCAAACAAAGTTACAGTTACATTATTGCAAAAACTTCTTTCCAATTATGAAAAAGATTTAATTACCAATTGAGCTCACTTTAAGGACCATAGACGCCACTTTAAGCTGACAAAGAGATGCGACAAGCAAAGAACAATTCCATCATCCATAAAAATTCAGCTTAAGTGAACTAAAAAACGCTTCAATAAGGTTGCAAAACAACAAATTTTCACTTAAAAAAATAACGCTTAAGGCTCTTATACCTGCTGACAATGAAGAAGTGAATTTGCTGTACGGAAATAACCTACCTAAAGATCTTAAAAGCAAAAGATGAGTCGCAGGCTTCGCAGCCAAGCCATGATTCCGACTACTTAGCTAGATTAGCTACTTTTAATAACTGGTCCATTCGAGTGTCTTCATTCAAGCAAATTAAACTCAGCAAACTGAATCATTAGAAAATACAGAAAACTGCATATAAGGATTTGTTTTGCTCACTCCAGTCAAATCCACCTCCGGCAATAATTGTTTACGGGCAGAGTCAATTGTTTTGGAGTCACTGCCGGCAGTTCTCGTTCTCCGCTACCTCTTAGCGAGTGAAAGAAAAATTTGCGTACATAAAGATAACTAAACTGTTGTTCACTCGCATGCGTTAGCAGTTACGGTTCTTTGACTGAAGACAAGGATAAAGCTGGTTCTGCAGAGGTAAATAAATCTGGGCATGTAAAAAAAGTAACTATAGCTACTAATAACAGAATACAAGCAGGTTTTAATTCAACCCGGTGAAAGAAGGCGAAGCACTGGACACAAAATCAACTCAAATCGAATGCACAATTATCAGAAACATACAAACCCGTTTGGAAATGTTCAAAACGTTTTATTCCACCTCCGACTGATGGAATGATCTGTTTTTACTCTAGCATTGGTTGTTCTGAATCCAAAGTAATTTTCAAGTGACGAAAAAACGACAAAAACAAAAAAAAATCCTTTACAAGGAGCAAACGTTCGCGCCTCGTCTATTTCATTAAGTCTTACTCAGAACAAAACCGCGGCAAAACGCACTGCGCATGAGCGCAAAATTTAACATCCGGTCAACTTTTTATTTCCGGTCTAGTATATAAACCAACTGTGTAAGTATAATTTTGCCGTCTCGTCAAGTTAAAAGCAAAAAGGGAGACACAGACAAAAAAAGGGGCGAAAAAAATCATTCCATAGCTGATATATTTTTCTAGTGTCAAACGTTGACACCACATGGTTATCTGGTTGTACCAACGCTGAAAACCATGTTTTGAAGTATTAGTAAGGGAGCATATGTAATCCCGTGGGATTTTTGTGGTGAAAGCAAACCACCTACCTATATGTGTTAAGGGGACCCTAAGGAACACAAACAATGTTGTCGGAATTTTGTATCCTGCACCGGCGGCCGCTATTGTGTCTATTGTTAGACCCATACGGCTCAACATGGAATCGAGGCTCGAATATAAAATGGCGTGTAAATACAATTTACACAAAAATACCAGAAATCTTTAATATAGTCTATCTAATTCATATCCATAGACTTAAGTACTAAATACTAATGACGTGATCAACACTGCACGTAAGTGAGGCTGGTCGTTTGTTATCTTCAAATAAACATCAAAAGCATATTTCTTTTTCTGGGGTTGTTCATAAAAATAACTCGACAAGTGAACTACATGATAATATGTTTTGTTCACGTTAATTGAATTACATTTGAATATGTTTTTCTCGCATTAGACAACATGGAAGTGAGGCTGAGCTCGCAGGCACTTCTTAGGCGTGATCTAAGCGTCGAGCCATCATCGTGCGGAACCAAACTCCTTTCCGAAGATTGGCACTTTCAGTGCGAAGAAGAAATAAAACTAGATAATGAAAACAGAACCAACTGATTTGGCATTTAGAACCACAGCCGCGCTAATCGTCAAACCAAATGGGATTAGGTTTGGCACGACGTTGGCTTGACGCTTAGTCCAGGCCTTACCTATGCGATATGTTAGCTATTATTAACATTGCTCGGAGGGCGTCATGTTAACCATGATAGCAGGTTTACAGGTATATAAAATTATTTCTACCCAAAACCTTGTCAGGCCTTTGGCGATAATAACTGCTTTAAAAATAGCACAACTGACCTCATAATGCATTGCGGTCTATACAACATGGATGTAAGGTAAGAATCATTCATCATCCTCGTCTTCCTCGCTGTCATCTTCCTGCTTATCCGATGTTTCATCATCACAGCTATCATCCTCAATCATATCGACATTGTCACACTCGTCTCCTGTCTCGTAGTTGCTGCAGCTGCATAGGCCTGTGCAAGTGAGACCCGCCCTTCGACAGCTGCACCTGTTGTTTCAGCATTTGTCCTTCCCACAGCCACACTTGACAAGATAAAGAACAGCGTCGGGTGCCAGCTGCAGTCTCGTCATCACTGGCATCCATTTGTCTGAAATATAAAAGAATAAGGCAGTGCATTAAGGTTGTCTCAATCTTTAGTGTCGAACTTGAGAGTTTATTACTATATCAACCGTTAATTTATAATAACCTTTGTCTTTTTTCCATCCATAGTTCTCTGGTGATGAAAGGTCTGGATTAGGGACTTTGTCATTGGCCCAGATCATGGCTTGGTAATGCGCTCGCTCAATGGCCTCTCGGAGAGCAGCTTGTGTAGGCGGTAGTCGTTCTGATTCGGCCTGTTTTATTCGAAAGAGGAGCCACCTTAGATCTGTGAGGCTGGACGTCTTAGTCTTGGGCAGTTAAAACTGACACACTAGCTTCTCTATTGCATAGAACATGCCCGCTGTGGGAAGGATGGTAGAGCTGAGATCTGCAAGTGCAGTGACACACTCTTCATCAGCTTGAAGAAGTTCTTTCCAGCATTCCAACTTCCCTTTAAATGCAAAGTTTCCACTGACATCCACTCCGCTCCAGGCATGAAAGCCAGGTAGTGCTGCCGTTCTAGCTGCTCGTAAAGTGCGGACAATTGGAAAAAGCGGGATATTTCGGTGGCGCTGTCCTCTTCTGGTGACGAATGAACTGTCCGCACAAAGCTCCGGATATCGTCTAAGGGCCAGTACAAACATGTTGGTGTCTGGCAAGAAGATCTTGATACTCTTGGCTCCTGATGCGATGGCATCTACTGCATGTAGCAGGATTTTAGTATCTGCCTCCTCTTGGTCGCTATCGAGGTACGCCATATCCTTGTGTGTTGCCCTACACTTACCGCTCCATGCAACCACCACGTGTCAACCATTCTGACGTCCCTTGTCTAGAGTCTTGCTGGCAAGATATTGCGTCAGTTCATCCTTGGTGCTCACATGTGCCAAAAGTCTCTTCAGCGGTACCTGCATAAGAAAGGGTTCACTAGTTTTAATATCTTTCCCTCCATATCTGGTCCTATTCTTTTTGTAGTACATTATATATAGGATGATTGTTTTTGGATGAATAACCGTTGATAGTATACCTTGGAAATCTAAGTGGTGTCAGTAATCTTGTAGCTGATAGGTTCCAAGCCCCCCTGCCGAAATTCGCGAGTTGCGGTCTTTAAAGACAACGGTACATCATACCTAAAAGCAGAATAACGTAACCATTAATGTAACTAATTATAACTAATATAAATACAAAGGTTATAAGGTAAATATCAGCGGAAGTGACAAACCTGTCGAAAATAACACGAACTTCATCTGCACCTAGGTACTTGTGGAAGATCGTTACAGTGAAATCATTGGCCAGATCCGAGCAGGTCTTGATCCAATCCGGTTTTTCCAGTGCTAGTACCTCGGCCATACCATCTACAATGGAAACCTTGATCTGCCCATCTGCATTAGCCAACTGGTCATTGGGTTCAGCCTGCTCAACTGATCTGTCACTTGGCAGCTTCTCTAGAATACTCATCAAGGCGTTCTTTGTGGAACAGTGCAGCATATTGCCATCGCCGACAAACATTGATCGTGGAACTACCGAGAACTCGTACCCCCAATGCCTCTTTGATGTCTATCTCAGGACGGGACTTGCAGATTATCATCATCCGCGCGAAGAGACATCGATCTTCCTTTAGCTCGATGATCTTATTGTTTGCAGCCACCCTAACTGTTTTCCAAGTGGTCTTCCACGATAGGAGCTTGCGCTTCTTCACCACATCCCAGATGCTCTTCTCGGCTGTCTGTCTTCGTTCCTTAACGAATGTTCGCAACAGCCTGTTACCAATGACGCTTTGATCACATTGTTTCATTGTTATATAAATGGCGCTCAGAAAGTTATACGTCAGGTTTAACGACAGGCTATTTTGAGATTTAGACAAAATTTGTTTATCAGTTTGGACGTCTAACCAGAAGGTTAATTTGAATTGATTTGGGGAAAAGCTTTGCAAAGCACATTCTCGTTGCATAGTACAAGTAACTTATTTAGAAGGTACAGGCAGGTGTAAAAACAGGGAAATTATATCAGTCGGATTCTCTCGTCTTAATTACTACTGTAGGTGGTTAAAAGTTTTTACAGTTTTCACATGCAAGACTTCCAGCTAGATTGCGGTGTTAGTCAGACCTCTCACAGAACGAGACAAACAAACGCAAGCGATAAGGGATGCGCAGAAGCTTGTGCAGAACGTTTTTCCGCCTTGAAAGACCAACATTGACGCCACGTAGTCTCCAGTCTATCACGCGGCCATTTCAGAAACGTTCTCGTGAATTAAGTCGTTGGAAATGCTCGGATGTTGATCTTTTATCTTTCTATTAAGGCTTGGGAAGAAAAATCTTTACCCAAATTTCGCTTAGGATGGTCCTTTTTAGCGTTTGGTGAAGGTAAAGCGACAAAAGAAAATATGTCAATTTTTTGGTTCATTTGACCTTTAAGTTTGAAGAAAATGCCTCCAAAACTTTGTGATATTAAGTATGTGCCACAAGTGGTTAAGCACGTTTGTCATTCTACGCTGGAAAAGCATAAGCGGTGCCTCGTGGAGATATTTAGATTTTATATAGGCTTAGTTGAGAGTCATGCAAAGGAAGTTACTGCATTTCACCTTTAGCCATCCAAAACTAAGTTCGGGTTCGATAAAGTGCCCGTAGGTATTAACAGTTTGAACAAGATGCCTGAAATGTGCGAGGCGGCCGGGTTTAAATGCAAAACCGCTTATAGTTTGTGCGTTACCCGTGTTTCTTCCCTGTTCAATGATCGGGTAGAAGAAAAATTGATTCTCGAAAGGTCAGGGCATCCTTCTAATGCATTGTTTCAGTACAAAAAGCCTATGGAAGAAAATGTGTTTAAAGTTTCAAAGATCCTAGGTACAAGTGTTAGTGCAGTTTCATGTTCTACCACAGAAAAACAAGACGAATCTCTTGTTTTTAAGGATGTTGTTTTCCAAAACGTAAAATTTCAAAACTGTACAATTAATAATATGTTGCCCTATTGTTGTTGTAGGTAATGATTGAAGCGGCAAATATACTGTATTTAGTATTAAGACTGATAAATTTCAAGTTTCTGGATCAATGTCTTGATCAGTTTTTGAACTAATCGAATGTCTTGATCGGTATGTTCATTGGGTATCAAAATACATGCACCTGACTCAATTGATGCAAGCTGATTGGGTCATCAGCACATGAATAATTGATGAGTTTGAGAAAAAAAGATAAAGGGTGACAAAAGACCCGTGATTACTCGTTTAAGAGTAAAGTTACAAAAATTTTACGCGTTTTTTCACGAGGTTTGTCGGAACGATTAGTTAGTATTTCCCTTGACCATCTGAATAAGAATTGAAACTGAGTTTTCATTGTTCGATGGTTGGTATATATAGAAGATGACTTATTTTCCAACTAAGTCATTTCTTGGAGTCAACTTCTTTCAGGCATTTGCAGAGCTTACAAAACCATGACGGCCAAGTCTTACAGCGCAATAAACCACTCTATGACGCACAGTATACGGTAATTATTCAACTTCACTCAGCAGAGTACAAATACCCAAGACTAGTAGTATTAATATCTCACGATATTTGTTCTCCGGAAGACCGGTTTGACCGGTTTCCTTTCCATGGCTGAAAATGTATTGTTTCCCAAGGAGTATGAAGAATAGTACCCACATTAACAGCTTATTAAATAATTACAAAGTTTCTCGCAGAGTAAAGTCGCCTGACCAACAATGATCGACATGTATTACAATTACTCACAAGATGCAAACTTTATAAACTCAAATTACATCGGCGAAGATGCAAACAGACCTGATTGTGTATAATAGAGATCACAGAGATGATGATGGAGAGGATCCGTGAAACAAACAGCATCCATTAAATACAATCCACGCCAACGAACTGAACATTCTTCCTCTTTAGGTCTAGTTTTATGTGAGGAAACACGACATGGTAGACTCTAAACATTTAGGCTCAATTGACAGCCGCTGTTCGGCAAAATGAGCCCGCACTTATCCCCCTGAAGGAGCGGCTGGACGCGTGCGATTTTCTTTATTGGTACATTACAGACAAGGACAACGGGTCACGCGTCCAGCCGTCTCTCTTCGGGGAGGATCAAACACCGGACCCCGGAGACGGCGGAAATCGAGCCTACTAGACGTTCTCCACGGACTTTTGTTATTGTTAATCCGAAGATGAGCTTTTAAGTCAGTTTTTTTACGTTCTAACTCCGTGAATTTGCGGGAGATTTTTCGTCTTTCCAGCGCAATTTGCTCTGCTCAGTTTTTCTGCTAACGGTCGGTTTTACGTAAAAAGAGAAAGATCATCGTCAGCCTCATCCCATCACCGTTTTCCTGGCAAACGATTGAAGACCTCATTGAAGAATACAACCTGGGAGTGCCGACGAAAACCCGAAATAAATTTAATTTATTAAGTAAACCTGTTTGACAAGTTTCATACAACCTTGGACAAAGTGCGAGAAAAGAGTCACGTTAGTATGTCACGTATTCTCGTTATAAGAAGGCATCCACAGCTTTGTACCCTTCCATTTGAATAACAAATATACCTTATTGGACAGCTTAGTGTGTAGTATCGTGGGATATTTTTAACCGTCTCTTGTATTTTACTCACTTTTCCCATGATACAGCACATGATAAATGATACTGTTCCATCCCTATAGGTGACACATTCTAAACTGCAAAGACAAACTATAACAAAATGTCTTTGGATTGTACTTAAATTATGGAGTCTGAACTTCGTAATTGTTCTATTATTGATTCCGTTTCCGTTTCCAGATTCTGGATTCCATGTTTTAGTGCTGCCGTTCTGGAGAAAGATCAGATCAGAAAACAAATAATGAATAAGTGGAAAGAACGTTTTATACAAAACAAGTCTTTTTCTAACAAACAATCGACTCTGAGAAACTGTAGAAAAGCAACAACTATTCCTGTCTCATCAATAAAAATGAGTTCATGGGGCGAATGATTTAGCAAATCAGCTTTGAATTGAGCATGTAGGTCATCTCTTCGCTGAGCTGCAATTTTTCTTACCTGTGGACAATCAGAAGCAATAGTACGTGTTGGAGAGGGAAAAGATTAGCAGTATCAGTAATTTCTATACTGACCCTCTTGTTAGTGAATCCAAGTCTGTGAAGTGCCCTACACAGTATGGAAACATCAAACTGAGCCAGCTTTTTCCTGTATTGTTGACGCAAGCTGATGTAACCGTGGCTCTTTGAGTATCGCCTCCATTATGATGTATTCCTCATGATGGTGAAGTGTTGTCGTACCGACAGGTCGACCAGCTCTTTCTACTAAAACATTTTCTGTCAATACCAATTTTTAGCAGATAAGCTGCACTGTTCTTGGGCATACAAAAAATTGAACAGCAATAGAAATTTGTATCAGATAATTCTCCAGCGGAGGTCCTCTGCATAAGCACCTGGCATTCTACCTCATAAAAAATAACCAATTCTTTGTAGTGGTTTCTTTTTCGCTCCATTTCTGTTTATTTAGTAATCGATTGCACCAGCTAGAACAATAGAATCATACCGTGACGCAGGCCCGTGAGCCAAGAAGGTAAAGCATAAATTAGCAATTCACATTGCACCCATTAAGACGCGCAGATTTTAAATCAGTCTATAACATGGAGGGACAAGTTCTAAACGACACTCGTCATCATTTTACAACTGATGCCAGAATAGTCGGTGGGAACAAAAAATCTTCATACAGAACAGCCAGAGTAAAGGGTTATTCTGTAAGTGAGACTTACTCCAAATTTAGAGAGGCAGTGAAGAACATTATTCCCGTTTGCTGAGAATTTCAGCTTTGGCTTCATCGATAAGAAGTAGAAAAACTCTGGGTTCTTACTGACACCGAAAAACCGCACTTCTATACCGCTGCTATAAGTGGGCAAGCTCGTTGGGTGGAACTCAGTCATGTGGTGGTGATTGAAGAATGCGCCAGGAGTGTCAACAAGAAAGACAACCAAACAAAAAAATGTAAGTATAAGCTTTTAAAACGAACACGTGTTTTCAAAAGTGTGACTGAGTAAAATTCCTTATTCCTTATAGGTTGTTATGATGAGGCAAATGCCGCATCCCCCTCATTCAAGAAGAAAATAGATAAGCACATGAAAAGTCAGCGGTGCTATGTAATGGCGGTCGCACATTTCTAAGCTCCGTGTTCTTTGGTGACTTTGATGGTGTTGCTCAAATCCAATGACCTCACTGGATCCATTTACGAGGACAACTGTTTCAGTTGGTCCAACTGTTATTCTGTTACGCAATCCTTTTTGGAATGGGTAGCAGGAGTAAATGTATATTCTCGGAAAGGAACACAAATCCCTTCGCCATCTTGGATTCTACCTGCAAGTCAAGGTTTGTCACCCTTTATATTCTGCTCATTTGCAGTGATATAAATCCAAACCTTGGACGTCAGTGGAAATTTTCATGCGGCGTTTGCCATAAGCCTGTGAAGTATATTACGTGTATGACGTGGGTATGGCATCAATAGATTGATTAATGAGCCCCACAAGATGTGGGGATATAAAGACATTAACATTCACAGTTTATCGCGTTAAGCACAAGAAACACCAGACAATTGTGCACGAAAAAGAAGAACCACTCGTTAAGCAATTAACTGCAGGCCACACCGATGTCATATACGTAAATGGAATAGAATTACGCCAAAGATTAAAGCCACTAACGCCAATAAAATCAGAAACGAACAATTCTCTACTGAGTGACAAACAAGTTTACAGAAAGACACATGCAGCACAAGTAAACCTCAAACTGCGGGGTTAGAAAGACAATAAGAGTCACAGTTTTCCGCGTTATGCGCAAAAACGCCAAACAATTGCTCACGAAAAACAACTAATTATTAATTAACTAATTGACGACATACCCACGTCATATACCTAATAGAAATTCGCCCAAGAGCAGAGACATCACCGCTTATACAATCAGAGAAAAACGGTTTTTTAGTGGCAATTAAGTTAAAACTTCAAAAGTAGCACAAGCTAGCCTCAAATTGTAAGGATAGAGAGACATTTAGATTTAAAGTTTTCCGCATTAATACAAAAAACGCCAAAGAATTGTGCACGAAAATAAGTACAACTCATTAATCAATCTATTGATGCCATACCCACGTCATACACGTAATTGTCAATTTATGGTATATAAAGAGTTGTGACACATAGTTAATGGAATAAGTCCAACGGCGCGTAAGCGACCAGACAAGCTGAAACTGTAAAATCCGCTGAAGAATATAGTTAAGTTGAAACCGGTCCGGAAAATGGCTTGTTTTGGTTGAGACGGCTGGATCGGTACTCAACCATAAGTACCATCCTTAATTTCCAGTGCGAAACCACAACGGAGGTTCCGTTACGGGGAATGAGAAGCATGCTGAACCTAGACACCTTCTCTTGGCAAGAGAGCCCGTGCAAATTATATATATTATTAACTTTTTTTTTGTCAATAAGAAATAAATAAATAAAAAATAAAATAAAGTTTACTCTAAGTGCAAAAAAAAATCAAGCTGTTGAAAATGTATCTAAACCAAAACAGTGTTAAGACAAGTGGAAGCAAGGCTGAGTTAATTGATCGATTTCTCACCCACGCACGCGGGAACCTTAGTGCCAGAGATGCTGTAGAAGATGAGGAATCTCCCAATTTATGCAAAGACGACACAAGCTCAGAGTCAAGTGATTCTGATGACTCTTTAAATGACTCTCGGAGGAAAAAATCCAACAAGTAAACTAGGTATGAGGGAATCAATGGGAGGAGACTTTTTTCAAGGGGGGAGGGGGTTAGCCTTAATATTATTGATGAGAGGCGGGGCATGACTTAGTTTGGGGGCGTATTTCACTCATTTCCCAACCTCCCCCTGCAGGTAATTATTGCACAATCCCTTATGGGAGATGATGTTCAGCTTCCTCCTGTATGTGACACCCGTGTACATCTCAGAGTGTCGTAGTGCACCATCTAACCATGTTCGCTTCGTTTGGACAATGTTTGATAGTGC